ATGACACTAAATCGAAATGCACTCTATAAAGAGAAAATGTAGCTATGTGTGTCCTTTCTCTCAGTAATTCATCATTAAATTCTTTGGGACACAACAGTTTCCGGATGTTGAAAAAAATTAAAATTACAAATTTGGAATGCTCTCATATGCACTGGAAATCCAGGTCTGCTGGAAATCTAACCTTTACCGACTTTACAAGATGTTTGATTCTTTGCGTTTTCTTTACTCTCACACCTACTTCGTCTCGGTTTTTGCCCTCAAACAGGAAGTCGCTAAAAAACTCTGTGGACGCAAGTACACCAGAATTAAAAAAAACCAAACATTTCATTTATTTCTCCTCTTTTACTGATAAAATATCCAAATTTTATTTGAGCAAACGGTGCGGAAACCGCAAGATTGTTTTTGTGTCCAGCAGACCGTATTTTGGATTATTCTTTATCCCTATCCACGTGCCACGTGCATAACAGCTTCTGGGGCCGTGAGACCACTCATAACACCCACCCACGCGTTGTAATACTGTGGGGCGATGTCACTCATAAACCATTTGCTGGTGATAGAACCAGCGCAATTCTTTTTCACTTCACGAAAGAACGTACACATAGTTGTGAAATCTTCATGATTAGGAAGGCACCATGCAACAGGAAATCCTTCACCATACTCATCTACCATTAGGCATGTAGTGAGAAGGAAGTCGTAAGCGTTGGTACCATGAGCACTGTCACAACAAATACCTTTGATCCCAAATTTCTGAAGCATGTGCCTTTGAAAAGGACTCTGTATTATCAACACAAAGTCCTCCTTAGATAAGTCATACCCTTCTACCATTTCATCCTGAAACTTGCAGAAGAGTATGGGATTAGTATCTGCTGATTGTTCCCATTCCGTAATCCAAGCCAACACACTATCTTGATCATTGATGTGACGCTGAAAGTCTTTCAGCCCGAAAGCTCTTTCAATGTTCAACAGATCCTTTTTTTCCAACAGATGATACCGAAAGAAGTTATTCTCCGTTACACTATCTCTGATGTAGTCAAGAATTTTCTCCCTTAGAACCCCCTGTTGGATTTTTGCCGCAAGCTCTTGCCTTTTTCCTTTTGGTAGCCACGTATGCTGGATGTCTCTTGTGTGGCCATAGTGGGTATAGCAGATCTCCACTTTTGCTTTGCCATCCACTAGATTAGATACATTAAGTGTGGAAGTGCAGTTCCTCTCTATCTTGCAGGTTCCTGTGAAACGAAAAATGCAGAGTATTCCATCATTAAAACTAAATGAATTAAAATCGTTTCTGATCGATTGTTTATGCAAATTTAGAACAATAAAGTAACGATGCAACATTATTAAAAAAAAAGAGACAGATGACCGAAAGATATGCAGAAAGACAGATAAATAAATATCTCCTATAGCATTTAATAAATTAAAATGATATTTATAATAAGTAATTTCGAGATTTCTCTTAGTTTGAAACAAAGATCTTGAGATGATATGCCTACAAAGTAGAGATTTCTTTCGTTGACCTGAACTAGCACCTTGAAACTTTCCTCTTCTCTTTCCAGTTCTGCGTGGCCTCTGACTCCCACAACGGTTGCACTGGAAATAATTGACCCTAAGCACACTGTTTTTTTGTTTCTTGGAACCTTTATTAGTAAATAAGTAAGCAAATAAAAAGTTAACAAATAAGTGAATGAATGAATGAATGAATTAACTAATTAATCAATTAATTAACTAACAATTACTGGTTGAAAGTGAGACATGTTAATTGCCTGCAGAGACTGCCCTTATTGCATTTTAAAGGGTTACTGCTTTCTTTAAGTAACGCACCTGTCGCCTTGACAAAAGAGCAGCCTTCCTTCTCCTCAGTGTCCGCTTTCCACGTCTCGAATTCTAAAATAAAGATATATTAAGTGTCATTTGGGACTCGTCTAAGGGTCTGAAATAAGTAGATATGAAAGTTATAAGAGATGTTTAACCCTTTAACTCCCATGAGTGACCAAGACATAATTTCTCCTTACAATATCAATACAATATCAAGGAGACAAGTAATGAGAATAAAGAAAAATATCAGTTAGGAGATTATAAGTTGATCCAATACCAAATTCTCCAAACTGACATCACAAGAACTGTATAGGAGACAGTAAGGAGAATTACTAATGAGATCTTGGGAGTTAAAGGGTTAATTAAAAAAAAGAGGCTGAGTAAACCTCACCCTTAGCATTTTGCATTTGCAAAATTTCTGTCCTGAATATCACGCCGTGTTCTGTAGACAAATGTTTCCTTAGGTCCTTAATCCTGAAACATCGATGGCCACACTCAAGACATAGACACTTCCCACTTTGGAACGCTCTCTTCCCGACAGCCCTAGTATGTTTTCGGTTGATGTGTCTCTTCATGTTTGATAGTTTAACACAAGAATATTCACATTCAGGACATTGATGAGACTTCCCGGTTCCTCGTTCACCTCTATGCTGCTCTCCACTACCTGGCCTATGCTTTGGGCTGTCATCACAGTTTCTCTTCTCATCACAAGTGACTCCATCGCCGTCAGTTGCTCTGTCACGATCGCCCTTGTTTTTTCCATCTTTCTCTCCACCCACTCTCTTAACAGGAATATTACGGTATTTCTCTTGACTGGTCTTGCCATTTCTGTTTTCACTTTTGTTGACTTTTTTTTCCTAGTTACCATTGATCTTTTGTAACTGTTTGTTGTCCAGGATTTTATCCTCTGCTTCACTACTGCTTTGAGTGCTCTCAGTTCTGCCTGCCCTTTCCGCTTTTCCTTGAATACAAAGTCCCTTCTCATTGTTCTCTGCGGTGTTGTCTCTCTCATCTATGTCTCCTTTTGATGATGGTACTCGAGGAGTGTCCAAGTCCGAATCGGAGTCTGACTGGCTCTCGTGACTAAGTTCGGGGCGAAGAAAAGAAGATGGAACCACATGCTCAGGGTTAATTGATTTCTCACCGATCCATCCCATGATCACTCTACGCAAGTACTTTGTATAGCGCGTGGGGCACTTATGAAGACATTTGAAGGTGCACCGCCTGCGATTGACCTGAAGGGGGTATTTAGATGCACAGCTGAATCCACATTTGTGCTCCCGTTCAGTGAAAACGTTACTTGAAGTGTGACACTCGAAAATGGAGTAGTCGGATAAACATTCTCCATAAATGTGCTCGATGAATTGCTCTAATCTAGGCAAGAGGGCGACTGGTACGCTCCAAGCCAGTGAGTCACCATAGACTATTTTCTTTTTGTCCCGATCAACATGGCACATTGTCCAGTGACAACCACTCCGGGATCCGCTTGCAATGAATACATTGCCACTTGAATCCTTACCCACATTAAGGGCAAAGATCAAACTCGTTGGCTTTGACTGGCCATCTGGAAGAGAGCGAGCCACGAACGCCTCTACATCCAACACGTGATTGATGTGAACTCAAAGAGTTTTTTTCTGTGAAATATTTAGATCGTCAAGCAACCAATGTACATGATCAGATGAGATCCACCGATCGCAACAAACATTCGCCATTTCATTGGGTGACATTTGTATACCATCGACCTGCTTATCAAATTTTTCTCCGTAAATAAGATTTTGGAACTTTTTGATAGAATTAGTGGCAGGATGGCTTATCATAGAAAGTGGGCGAGTGTAGGTCGATGCAAACCAGTCGAGTTCTTTCTCGGCAGCTCTCTTAATACCTATTGCCTCGGTAATCCGAAGCATGCCTTTGATTCCATCGTCATCAAAACAACCCAAAGAACTTTCCGCGTAGCAATAGCTTCTTAACTCTCCTCATTTCATCCCCCCATGACTCTAACTTATGCCTATCCGGAATGTACTGCAAACTCAGTAAATTCGATTGTTGTTTCGGTTGGTCGTGAACTTCTACCTCCCATTTCTGGGCCTTTTTAGGTGAGGAAAACGGCATTCAAAAGCTTGAAATCTGGTTAATTCACTCAGAGTTCCTGAGGTCAGGTCTTTGCTATTTTGCTTAGCCGAAAACATCTGTAATTATAGAAAAAAATTATAACCCAAGTTATGCCTTGGCTTTACATTAATACTTCACAACGAAAACCATTCAAGTTACTCTGCACGCAAGAAACATGAAATTAAGTGAAACTGATACCTTCTGCAATGGGACAAAGACGATAGTAATCCGAAAAGTCAAGCAAGAAAGCCAAAAATTCTCCGACGTACAACTTCAATTATCCGGCACGACTTAAACATTTCAGCACGACTTCAACTTTCCCGCGCGACTTTAACATTGCGGCGCGACTTTAACTTTCCGGCACGAATTTAACATTCCGACACGACTTTTAATTTTCCGGAACGTCTTTCTCTGGTCTGTAAAAATTAAAGTTGAAGTCTTGCCAGCTAAAAACTGAGGTGGTGAAAATTAAAGTTGAGGTGGTGGAAAAATGTTGATGAGAAGTACGAGATGGTTCTTATGTCAATCGCAACGTCACGCAACACTGGAAAGGCACTGCGTGTGCACCTGCTGCAAAAGAGTATTTGACTGAGTAGGAGGGCCGGACGGGAACTGATACCGACCGAGCGCAGCGATTGAATGAGAGCCAAATATTTTCCTGTCCGGCCCCACCTTAGTCAGTGAATACGAATTTATAATATGATTGTCACACTGTCTTTTTCTTTCTTCTTTCGCATCTCGTAGGCCCTCGCGCGGGGATTTTCTTTTAATTGTTTCGATAAAAGCGCCCGGGAGATCGTACTGGTATTAGGATAAATCGACATTATCACTGAAAAAGTGCATGGCCGGCTTTATTTAAAAGCATGGTAGAGTTCAACATAGGAAGAACGTAGTAAAACACTAAAATCCAAAACGATTGGCAAAAAAAAAAGAGAAAAAAAATAATAAATGCACGCGCACGAGTCGGAGCTATTCCTGTCAGCGGTGAAATACAGGAATGGCTCCAGTCTCCGGTCGTCCGCCTGAACTGAATAATTAGTTTAGTCAATGAAACTAGTCAGCGGATGACTTTATCGCCGGAATATCGCTGAACGACCTTGCTGAACAAGAAAGGCCTTCTCTTCGTTATATAAGTAACCATTTCCTGTTTCACACATCGGTATTTTTCACTCGCATTGATATTTCATCGTTCCGCTTCGAGACACAGTCAAACAGGAGTTAAGATATAACTTATTACTTTTACTCTTTTTATCATCCAATTACAGGTCGGAGCCATTCCTGTATTTAGTCGCTTGTCGGTGTTTTGGGTACCCCCGCGTTTTTGGTATAACGCTCAACCATCGATTATGATGGCCCAGTGAAATACAAATCCAAGGAATCGCTGTCAAAAGTCATTACATCTTCCAACATTCCGAAACGAGACTCCTCAAGATGAATATACCCGAGCAAGGGCACAAAACTCCACATACAGTGTCTCTGATTGTTGAGGATGGGAAGGAATTCAAGACGCTTTCACATATTCTTTCCACAGCAAGTCCCTTCTTTGAAAAACTTCTCTCCAGCAACATGAAAGAGAATCAGGAGGGGGTTATTCGATTGGAGGTCTTCACGGAGTCGCTGATGAAAGATGTTCTCGAGTTTATTCAGACTGGTAACGTTCGGATTTCGACTCGTGAAAATGCCGAAGAGCTCGTTGCAGCAGCGGATTACCTATGTCTCTCCAAGCTCAAGTCGTTCGCTGGGAAGTTTATCGAGCAGACCATGTCCTCTTCAAACTGCGTTTCAACTTACTTCATGGCGGAAAAATTTGATCATTCCGAGCTGTTAGACAGCGTGCGGAAGTTCATCTTATCAAATTTTGCCGACGTCGCACAAACAGAAAACTTCCCACGTTTACCGAGTCACGAAGTTGAACAGTTGGTTTCCAGCGACGATATTGTTATCAATTCAGAGGAAGACGTTTTCAATGCAATTTTCAAGTGGACCCTTCACAAGAAAAGTGAAAGAAGCAAAGAATTCTGTAAACTCTTCAGTCACGTTCGATTGACCTTTCTGTCGCGTGACTTTTTACTGAAGGATGTCGTGACAAACGAAATTGTGACAGAAAATGAAGACTGTATTGATCGCGTGAACAGTGCGTTAGCTTGGATGAATCGAAAAACCGATTGCGACCTTTCCCGGCCGTATTCTCCAAGGAAGGCAATGGAGACATGTGTCATTGCAATATGGGGAGAGGATAAGACATTCCGCCCTCTTTTCTATGTTCCTGAAAATAATGATTTTTATCAGCTACCGGGTATGGCCGAACCGGACTGTGTACCACAGCATGTCTTCTCATGCCGAGGGAAACTATTCTTTGTTGCCCAGGAAGTAAATAAATCGCAATATTATGACCCAGACTCCAACTGCTGGCATCCAGCACCATGGACGAAGACCGATTCAAAGTCAAATTGGTGCAAAACTAACCGTCGAGAGATAGGCAAACTATTTCTTCGCGCAGTGTTAGTTGTCGAAAACGAAATTTGTTTTATTGAAGAAAATCTACAAATTTATTCAAGCTGTCTCTGTCAATTTAACTTGGACAAGAAATCCACGACTCGCTCGAAGGACTGGTTAAAAACAACAAGGACTTGTCTCGTTACTTTGGGCCAGTACATCTACGTCATAGGAGGGACAAAATCCGACGTAAATATCGTCCCCCATTGCTCTAGGTATGACATCGTGAAAAACAAATGGCAGAAATTGGCAAACTTACGCTTTGCAAGATTTAGAGCCCTTGGAATTGGAACACAAGAAAAGATTTACGTCGCTGGAGGATGGCTCGACTTCGGCGGTGAGATTACCAACACGTGTGAGGTTTACAGTGTATTGACTGATGAGTGGCATTTAATTGGTCGTTTAACAGTTCCCCGGGACATTGGAAACATGCTATCGATCGATGAATCTTTGTACGTATTGGGTGGAGTTTGCCATCCCGTTCTTGGAAAGATATGGTCAGTTGAAAGCTACGAACACGAAAAAGATGAGTGGAAAGAAAACCGACATTTCCTTGACATTCACAAAATCATGACGTTCACAGCGTGTACCTTTAGACTGTTGAAAGACGTGTCAGTTAAGCTGAAGCACCATGGCAACTCTTAATCAATATCAAAGCCTCATGCATTAGTATGACATCCATATGTTAGACCCCATTTTGTTGGGGTTGAGTGCCAAGGAAATTTTCTTGTCGTGTCCATGGAAACTGTTGGGTTTCACTAAGTAGGTCAGTCAGGAGCACATACTCTTCCATTCCATTCTACATCCTGTCTTTCTTCAATGATCACCCATGTAACAATCCAGTACAATCACGTTACTTGATTACAATCCTTTTACATCATTCAATAGTCTTACAGTGATTTCACTAATGTTGCTATAGTACTCAATACACTACAGAATAGTTTAAAGAAACAGCCACCTTTCCACACAAAATATATAGCCGGTTACGTAGAATAGTCCATTTTACAGTTACGTGCTTGGTTGCCAAGCCTTTGAACAGGAGTGAGGCAAAGGTGGCCTTGTTATGATACAAACGTTGCTCTTTTTCAAATGTAAATTACTTTGTTATTATGCTAACTAGATACTGGTCTATATCACAGCAATTGCTCTGACGAAGGGCTAACGCTCGAAACGTCAGCTTTTTTACTCTTTACGGTGGCCAATTTACGTTTTCAACCTAGTTGTTAACACTAAATTACCTGCTATACTCTGCCACCGACGCAGCACCACAGTTTCTTCACTTACCTCCTTTATTCATCTATCACAGTAAGGTCACCTTCAGCCTCACTCCAAATCAAAGGCTTGGCAACTAAGTACACAACTATAAAATGGCCCATTGAATGGCAGATTTTCGGTGAATAAAAAATGTCTGCCGTTATGGCCTCGAACATGCATGTAACAGTAATTCCAATCTGTTTTATAACTCAAACTTTAACATATCCTTAACCAAAGAAACGTTCATTTTAGAATGAGTGATTGGGGCCTCCTATTAATGAAACCCAGTTGGTGCTAATTTGAAGAAGGCACTAAGAACGTCAGAACAACACAGCCTATATTTCATGTAGATATAAATTGCAACATTAGAAAGAGAAACAAGAACATGTCTTTCAATAGAGACACAACAATTTCTTGGCGTTGCACGCATTTGCTTTCACTTTGCTTCAACTGATGTAACTTATTAGTGTCCTGCTGGTAAGAAGTTTATTCTTCCACTTTTTAGCCCACAATAGTCTTTGGGATCTTTAGTCAAGCGGATGCAAGCGCGAAACGAGCGCTTAGGGCGCGTCACGCGGAAAGAAATGAACGGTATTCCGCCTAAGCGGGACCTATCCTTCGCGCTTATCGCGTGCTCGACTAAAAACTGAAAAAAAATATTCCATAACAAGCAGATAATCGCATGTCTGTGAATACCCAGGGGCTAGTAATGGTAAAATCTGTGGACGATTTTCATAATTAGTCACCAGTAATTTTCATTTGCGTTTGAAAGGCACGTGGAAAGCATTTGAATAGTATGTGTAAATATCGTCCCTTTCGAACAGTGTTTTCTCATGCTTTTCAATTAGTTCTTGAGGCAGACAACTGAGAACTTGCCCTCATGCATTGGCATTGGAGTCTTGACGGCGATTTGTGAATGATCCGACCCCAAATTCTTAACAGTCGAGCATCCAGCGGATTCCTTGACTCGTCCCCAGTAGTCAAAATGGGTGCAACCAATGTGAGTGGGATAGAAGGAAGAAGTGTGATGGGTAAGGAAAAAACGAGAGAGGAAGTTCTTCTCCTTCCCGTCACTCCTTTTTACCCCATTTCAGCGCCGCGCATATTTTGAAAACGACTGGGGACGAGTCGAAAAATCACCAAATATCATATTGCACTGTCGCTGTCTGAAGTAGTCTTATGATCGCTACAGCCCTCTTTCGTAAAAAAAAAACGTTAACACAGCGACTGTCCATTGTTTTGATAGCTTAAACATATCCCGATAAACTTTGCTGTTAGGTTCGCCAAGTCTTAACTCTTTCCACAACTCCTAAACGAGCTGACAGCTGAAGATGAATTTGTCCGATCAAGCCGAGTCTGAATTGCCTAAAACTGTGTCTCTGATTGTTCAGGATGGGAAGGAATTGAAGACGCTTAGACATGTTCTTTCCCAAGCAAGTCCCTTCTTTGAAAAACTCCTCACCAGCAACATGAAAGAGAATAACGAAGGAGTAGTTCGATTGGAAGTCTTTGATGAATCGCTAATGAAAGATGTTCTCGAGTTTATTCACACTGGTAACGTTCAGATTTCGACTAGTGAAAATGCCGAGGAGCTCATCGCGGCAGCGGATTACATGTGTCTCTCCAAGCTCAAGTCGTTCGCTGGGAAGTTTATCGAGCAGACCATGTCCTCTTCAAACTGCGTTTCAACTTACTTCATGGCAGAAAAATTCGATCATTCCGAGCTGTTAGACAGCTCGCGGAAGTTTATGTTATCAAAATTTGTCAACGTCGCACAAACAGGAAATTTCCTACGCTTACCGAGGCATGAAGTTGAACAATTGGTTTCCAGCGACGATGTAGTTATCGAGTCAGAGGAAGACGTTTTTAAGGCAATATTAAGGTGGACCCTTCACAAGAAAAGTGAAAGAAGCAAAGAATTCTGTAAACTCTTCTGTCACGTTCGATTAACATTTCTGTCGCGTGACTTTTTACTGAATGATGTCGTGACAAACGAACTTGTGACAGAAAATGAAGATTGTATCAGTAGCGCGACTAACGCTTTAGCTTGGATAGATCGTGCTGGTGACGATGACCTTTCAAGACCGTTTTCTCCACGAAAGGCTCTTGAGGAAAGTGTCATCGCAATTTACAGAAAGGATAAGCCTTTTAAGAACCCTCTCTTTTACCTTCCCAAAAAGAATGATATTTATCGCTTGCAGGGCATGGCCAAAACGGACTGTGAACCGGAACATGTCTTCTCATGCCGGGGGAAACTGTTTTTCGTTTCCAAAGAAGTGGATGAATCACAATATTATGACCCAGACTTCAACTGCTGGCGTGCAGCACCCTGGACGAAAACAGATTCAGAAATAAACTGGCTGCACTGGCGAGCAATGGGTATACCACATCGTCGCAAAGTAGTAGTCGTTCAGAACGAAATTTGTTTCATAGAAGAAGATTTAGAGGAAGACTCAAGCTGTCTCTGGAAATTCAACCTGGACACGAATTCCACGAGTTGCTCGAAAGACTGGCTGGAAAGAACAAGAATTTGTGCCGTAACTGTTGGGAAGTACATTTATGCTATCGGTGGGGTTAGAGACATAAATATTATTAAACAATGCTCGAAGTTTGACATCGCGGAAAACAAATGGGAGAAGTTAGCGGATTTAAACCTGACCAGGTATGATGCCCTTGGAGTTGGAACACAAGAAAAGATTTACGTCGCTGGAGGGTGGCTGGACTTTGATGAGATTACCAACACGTGTGAAGTTTACAATAGGTCCACAGATGAGTGGAACTTGATGTGTCGTTTAACAGTTTCCCGGCCTTTTGGAAACTTGGTGTTAGTTGGTAATTCTTTGTACGCGGTGGGTGGTGCTGTACATGATTTATTTAGAAAGATATGGTCAGTTGAGAAGTACGACTATGAAAAAGATGAGTGGGAAGAAAAGAAATGTACCCTCTGCGTTGAAAACATTTCGCCGTACCAAGCCTCTTCCTTTACACTTTTGAAAGAGGATTCAGTCAAGTTGAAACGTTACAAAGGTATCTTTCGCTGAGAAGTCCTTCCGGTTTCGGGAAACCCAAACCAAAGTAACGATAGATCTTTAAGAACACTGCACTACGTACCTACGTCCCTTAAAAAACCATTTTGTTCTCGTCAAGTTCTCTTCCAACAATTATCTCAACCTTTTTACACCCTAACAGTATGAATGTTCTTCATAATGTACGCTATACATTCCCAAGGTGCTGACATGGAGAATTTGTTTAACAACCAAGAGCTTCTTCAGTTAGTGATCACTTCCTTTATTCCCATTACCTCAATGTTTGATTCAGGAGTGATATTGTAAGGAGAAATTAGATGCTGGTCACTATTAGTAGCGAAAGGGTTAAGCGACCCTATGCAAATTTCCAGGGGGTCTGTGACCCCTTTAGAAACCAAAAGTTTGACAAACTCTTTTAGTTTGTGTTTCCACTAAGAGTCTAACCACTAGATAATATAGAATCCTTGTGTTACTCAGATATCAAAATGAAGAAAATAACTGTTCTGTATTCTAATGAAAAGTTCTCTACTGAAGGGAAAATAATTTCCAGTGATTTTATGGGGAAAAAAATGAAATTGCAAGCTTTCATTTCCTAAAACTATTAATGAATAAAAGAACACCATATTGCTTGATTTAAAAATGTAATTTCTGATTTTTGAGTAACATGGGAACAAATTAGTCAGAAATTAATATTCTGATGGCACATTGAAGAGTTTTGCATGCATCATGGAAGTTTCAGATTATTTAAGCATTTTGCAGGAAAATTAAGTCATTCTAGGTCAGTCAGTCCTATGTTTGACCACTTTCTTTTTTGTATTTGTTATAATTTTGGTATTCTAACTCCTTGTAAAATATCATTACATTCACTGATATTTCTTTGTGATTAGTGGTGCAACCAGGTTAGTTACTGTTTTCTTAGGGTGTTGTGCTGCTTTGTTAGATGAGGAATACGTTTTCACTCATTTTTTGGCCACATCTACAGAGTGGAGTTTTTAGTGGTTTTTTGTATCTGACATAGTACAGGTTCTTTTTTTAGAACCCCTGGTTTAAGGGTGCACATGTTAAGATTGTATCAGGATGCATATACTAGAAGACTGACTGACTCATCCTAAATAAACTTTTTGTCTCATGTGAGTGTGGTCAGAATTACATTTTTATTGGATGAACTTTGTGTATTCCTGAGAAACAAAAGCACATAAGCTCATGTTCTCTTGATGAGAAAAGAAATAGTAATAATTTGTGTATTAAATCACTTTCTTGCTTTGGTATTGTGGTGTCCCTTAAGTGATCACCTCCTACTTAAAAGGGTCATTGCAAGAGCCAGCTGACTGTATTCACAACAACCATTTTGAACATAGGTAAACAGGTCAAACGTGAGTAACGCAAGTGTTCAAGTCGTGACTGATTTTAGTCCCCAATCTGATTGACTGAAAAAGTAGCTCAAGTTTTAATTAATGAACAGTCAAAGAGCGAAAATCTAAAGCAAAACCAAAACAATCCAAGTTTAATATTGTGAGAATTTGAGCAAGGCCTTAAAGAGTGTTACTCTACAGAGTTATAAATCAGAGCTTCTGCCAATCAACAGCATCATCATTTCGAATGAATGGTCATTTTTTATTTACAAATACCTACCTATCAGTATCAATAGAATGCTTCATTATCCTCAGAGTAATGCATAATTTCCTTATCTATTTGCAAGTTTGACAACAGTTCACTCATAGTAGGCTTGGGATCAAGTTGTATTTTTTCGAGAAGACTCTCTGCAGCTTCCTGGCTTACTCTTCGCCACTTGTCTATTAAACATTTCAGCTCCATGATGTCATTCTACAAAAATCAGGAACAACCAAGAGTCACTATCAAAAGTATAAAATCACAACCACAGGTATCCTAACTATGGTTACAGGTATCCCAACAGTGGCCACAGGCATCCTAACTGTGGTCACAGACAGAGAGCCCATCCAGCCAGATGTTGGGTGGGTAAATTTGTCAGGCTTCATTTTTCTTATATTTCTTTGTATGTATTTTGCCAGTGAGTATCAATTTATTCTTTGCTTACCTTATTTCTGTACATTTTGACAAGATTTAGCTTTCTCAGGGAGTCTTCTCTCTCTTGTATTATTTTGATTAAATCTTTTTTCTCAGTCTGAAGCTGGTGTAAAGCTGACCCAGTTTCCTTAGGACTGGGAATCTCATTGTGATCTTGACTGCTAATATATCTACATCTTTTTGGTGTATCAAAATTTTCCTGCAATAGAAAAGATAAATCAATCTAAATATAACTGATTTATGATTTTTCTACCATTAAATTTCAGTAAGATATCACAAGATTTTCAGGGAGTTTTAGGCAAGTGACTCAAAACTACATATATGACAAACAGAAACTCTCCAACCCAAAATGAGCAAAAACCATGTTTTTAACCCTTTACACCCTAACATCAGTATACATATTCTCCATACTATTCTCTATACCTTTCCTTGGGCAATGACAACAAGAATTTGTTTAACCATCAAGAGCTTCTTTTGTTGGTGATCATATTTGTTATTCTCAGTACCTTTATGTGTGATTTGGAGGTGATATTGTAATGGGAAATTAGATGTTTGTCACTGTTAGGGGTCAAAGGCTTAAGTCATTTTAATTCTGAATCTGTCCTTACTTTACCATAAATCACCAATGAATTAGCTACATGTTACCTGATTGTCAGAAAGAAAACAGCGCTTTATTACTGGAGAAACAAATGGTGATGACACTCTTCGCAGCCCACATGATCTTTTACATGATGCTGGTGTATACTGAGTGAAAATGAAAAGTTTTAAATAAGAATGTGTTTATTTGATTGTACACTCACATATAAATAATTATCTCATAACTAATTCATCAGATGAAATATCATTTAATTTAGTGATACATTATTTACAAAAGGACAGGTTCCTCTTTCTGGTGGGAATCACAATTTCCTCTATATTACAGTAGTCAAGCTCAGCTCACCAAATTCTTCTTTACATTCAGAGTTCAAAGTAATAGAATTGCATTATTTATCATTAAGGGTGTTTCTCATCTGTTCAACAATTTATTTTTGAAGCTTTTAAATGAGATGACAAAGCCCACTTAGTCCAAATACAAATATATTTAGTAGTATGACTGTAAGCATCATAATAGCTGTAATCAGTTAATAGTACCTTCTGATTTACGCATGAAGAACTCCCAATGTTTCTTGTAGATGGTGTTCTAGACTGTGGTGGTGCTGACTCTGTAGAAATAGAGCAGCACTGCTTCATGTTATGAAATTTGAAAAATATTATAATGTAGCCCTTTTAAAGCTGCAATGATGCTACAACTTCCAATATTAATTTAAAAAAAAAACAAACAATGAAATTATAATATTGTATTCTGTGCAATTGATCATTCATCATAAGGCTTGGAAAAACAGCTGTACAAGATATGGTGGTAGAGAGGTTTGTGTCCTAGAGTCCTGATTGAAAGGTTTGAGTTTAAGCCCTGAGGAGGTCCTTGTGTTATGTTCTTGGGCAGGATACTCTGCTCTCACATTGCCTCCCTTCATCAAGTAATGTACATGGGTAATGAAAAACAGTTACAGAAACTGAAACCCTGTAATGTCTGTGATGGACTAATATCCAGTTCAGGAGAGAAGAGCAATACTCCTAATTCTTCACCCTATTGAAACTGGTAAAACAGTCAGGATAGCAACACAGATGAAGATATTGATCAAACAATGAATTTATATTGTTAGATAAAATTTTGCAAATAGCTGAAACATAAATAAATTGCTAGCGGCATTCTGTTCTCAAACACAAAAATTGTTGTGATTTCACATTGTTGTATTAGGACATGGCTAAGCTATTGTTCTGCCGATTAGATCTTTTTTTTTTGGCCATATCCTTGTTGCTGTCGCCATAATGGTGTGATTGCAGTCCCAAATATCCCACATGATGGGCTTTTGTTTTCCCTTGGCTGCCTTCACCTTTAACCTTTTGGCCACACAGCAGTATGTTGTGATGACAGAGACCCAGTGTAATTTTTAAAAATTGTCTGGAATTACTTTTAAATGAAATTTTCTTGAATGTAGAAGAAAAGATGATCATAGTTTTCTTTCAGTTCTCATAGCCTCTTTGTAATCCCTGTCAAGTTAAACTACTTTTAATCTACTAAGTCTGATCTGTACTTTCTTTCTGATTAGGAAAATTAAATGACAACAAAATGTTGCACACAAATTCAGTAAGAGATCATTTTGACGAGCATGATATGAAACAAGGTAAATGTACCATTGTTCTACCTGGCCAATGTTTTATGTAAAAACTCAGTTATAAACACAATTCAGGCCTGGAAAATGGAAATTGTTGTCCACAGGATGACTACAGCTGAACCTGGATTTAGTGGCACTGTATTATATTGTCACCCTGTGTTAAGCAATTGGTTGTCAAAGTTCTGAATTTGTCTCCCCTTAATTACTGTAATTTTCACCTCTATTATGCTGTCGCTGTCACCCTTTACTGACACAATGGCCTGTTTTTATTGTTTTCCACCTGTATTGAATGGTCACTAAAAGCGGATCACTCCAGTAAAACTGATAATCGTTGAAATAATTTTCAATCCATGTCTCTCTCCCAAAATCAAAGTAAACAGTATTAGTTGTGTATCGTTTTTTATGAAACCCCTTATCTGTGGAACCTGCATTAAGCGGTCGACTTCTATCAAACGGTCACCCCGCCATTCCCCGTGGTTGACCGCGTAAAGTAATACAGGTACGACTGTTATTAAATGTTCGTTTCGGCCCGACCTCGGTTCAAGAGGCCAGATGAAGAGACAGTTCAATACGTTCAGGGGTGGCGTTGTGCGAAAAAGGAAATCAAATAGTAGAGCCTTGGAGAATTATGGTGAAAAAAAACAAAGAAAAATTCACAGGTTCTCACACCGAGGTAAATCCTTCGTTTTACATTAGTGGAGTACCTTCAGAAGTATTTGAAATTCCCGCCACATTGTCCGCCATAATTCATGTTTTCATTTTGTGATTAACAGTACGCATGAGCAAATGGCTTGTTCACTGGCCCGAAATCACGCGGAGTCACGGAACTTCCTGTCTGTCGTAAAGAAACTGCATGAAAATGAGGAAAATGTTTTATTATTGACGGAACCAACTTTACACATGTTGTCACACAAAGAGAGAGAAGGATGTAAATCCATCTTGAACAAACTTCCTCAACAGGATTTAATAAATCTCACGGATACAGTAACGAACCGAGTAGTATCGCCTGAAAATACTACTGGTAAGGTTTTACAAGTATTTCGCTTTTGTGTATATATCTTAGTGGACGTTTTGGCGTGTTATATCACAGAGTATGTTTACGAGTTGTGCCGTATTTTGACGAGGATGAGTGAAAATACAAACAACGAGTGCGAATATTCAGCAATGCTACACACCAAAACGACTAATAAGTAATTTCTTCTCTCACTGCTTTATTTTACATCCATTTCTTATCAAGCGGGAAAAGTGAGGGGTATTACAAGATAATTTTATTTCATCAACTGAGTTGATACTGTAGACTGGCTACCATAAAGAATTTCTAAAGCAGACATTTTGTCCATAAGTCCTTCGTCATATGCTCAAAGGTCAGCCTTAGAAACTACTTCACAAGTGTTTTCAAACCCTACAAATAAATTATCTTCTTGTCAAGTTTCTACGTTGTCCAACTCGTCCGTTTTCATTACTTTGTATGCTACAGTAGATTTTCAACTCATTCTTTGAACATTAGGATTAAGTAAAATAAGTACATTATTTTGTGTATTTCTAAGTTAACTTGACCTTCTAGTTTTCCTGTATTTCTCGCTTCGGCCAATAATTAGTAACTAAACATTTGGGAAAGGTTTCTATATAACCTCATACTATTCTAAAACAAAGCTGTAATCCCAAAGGCAGTCTATTCATTTCACCATCCACTAGCCCACTTTTGAAACATGGATAAAATTAAACCAGATCTAGAGCAGGACAATTCAAGCCTCCCATAATTCTGTTGATCACCCTCCCTTACAGAGGCAGTCAATGCCATTCTAAGTTACAGCCATACGGCCTCACAGTTGCTGAAAAGGAAGAAAGTAAAGAGAGAACATATCTATCAGTACTTGGCAGAAAAAGGGATAATTGAACCTGTTGCGTCTGACAAGCCCACCTTGATAAAAAGGGCATTATTGTATTGGGGCTCTAGCAAAGAGGTGAGTTTCTAGGGTTTATTTGAATGCAAGTTTCAGTTGAGTAAGGTGATTTGTGCTATTAAATATGTGATTTGATTCCTCACCCCCTTTACCAAGCTTCATTCTGTAACTTTTTGATCCCTTAGAGTAACTAACATCAAATTTTTCCTTACAGTGTTATTGTTAAACAACAAGTGATATTCTTAATAGGGAGTGACTCCTTAAGGCAGTACAGTACTTATGCTCAATAAACTCACTCAAGCCCACTACAGTCAATATCTTAGCTCACCACTGAGCCAAACTCACAGTTTTCTCCAATGTTTCTTGAAATTAGCAATCTTCTGCTGTAGTTCTCTCCCACTTTCTAAACAGCTGGTCACTCCAGACAACAACAACTACAATTACTTTATAACTGAGTCCTTATATACATTCACAGAGTGTTTTGGAACATTCCAGAAGTTTACAAAAGAACTGTTTTAGTAGTATTATGTAATAACTGTGTGACCCGACGAAATGTTCCAGAAAGTTCTGTGGTATGCATGTCAGCTTGACTAAGCAGTCTGGAGATTTCTAGAAGCTTATACCTACAACAACAATTACTCATAACAACAGTAGTACCCCTGAGTCACATTAAGGTCATAAGTAAAGAGGAGATGATCACCAAAGACTGAGGCTCTTGATTTTTAAACAAATTCTCTTTATCAGCATGTTAGGAATAATAATAATAATAATAAAGACTTTATTTTACGAGGGTAACACATAATAGCATAGCTAATAACAAATAACAATATAAAAATAGAAACTTTATCAGCAAGATAAGTAAAAAGGAAACTATACACGGAAGAAATGTATAGAGAACAGTATGGAGAATATGCATACTGATGTTAGGTTGTAAAGGGTTAATTATGTTAAAATGTTTGAACCCTCTCCAAAGATTTTCAATTCATTCACCATGGAGTGGAGAGGATGTTTCTTAGCAAACCCACCATTTAGAGGTGTTGTAAAGACTTCCTCTTTAAACTTTAGATTTTAAAGTACACTACAGTAGTACAAATTAAACTTAGAAATTCCTGAGAGCCTTAGCAAACTTTGCTAGACACGCATGTCAAAGCAAACCATATCTTTGTTGTGAACTTCACATCTGAGAATCTGTCTCAAAATAGAAATTCCATAAGACACGATATATTTCTAATAGTCCCATACAGCCAAATTCTTCAATAGCACGTGTACTGACATGGTGCCCTTCAAAAGATAAGTTATGCATAAATGACATAATAGACATGACAGGTGTCAAGGATGTATGTGACTTCTCATGGTATACCTCTTGCTATACCCTAAAAATTCAGTGAGATGTTGGGTTAGGACCCAGTGTTGTAAAGTAAAGCTTATATCTATTCCTAGAACTGTACATTGGAAGAAATTCCTGACATGTATGCTGGATAAAAGAACTTGAACAGGTTTGTCACAAATTTGTCTTTTCTTTTTCTCTTTAGGATAGCGAAGAGGAGATTGAAAATGAGTCTGAAAACCTGCCAGCATCAGAGCCTAAGTCAGCAATTTCACGCAGTGATACTAGCTGTGCAAATCCTCCCTTTGACAACAGTGTTGATGGACAGCAGTTAGCTGAATATTTTATACCCTGGTTCTACAAAATCTTGAACTCTTTCAATACCCTCTCTGACAACACTTCACAGGAATGGGGTCCACAGCATTTTTGGGAAGATGCAAAAGGATCAGTGCTTGTAGTATCTAATGGACAAGTATTTGATGAGTGCCAAGGAGCGATGGCAGTTAGTACAAAACTTCAAGAACTTGTTTGCAAAGAAAAAATACTCTTTAATGCAAATTTAAGTGGGGCAAGGGGCCACATAGATGCTTATGGACTTGTCAAAATATCAGTTGGAGGCACAGTCCATAGATTTTCCAACTGCCTTGGAATTTTCGAACAATCATTCGGACTCATTCGAGACCCACAGATGCAAAATAACTGGAAAATTAAATTTACTGAGCTAAAACTGAAAGCACAGCAACAACAAAATGAAGTGGAAGGTATCACAAAAAAGGCTATTACTTAAACTAAGAAGAGAATGTTATATAAATAGACTGTAGTGTTAATGTAAATGTGTAGGATAAGGATAGTGGACAGTGTCACTATTTTAACACTATGGCTGTTGTCTTAAATAGCGAGCGTCACTTTTTTTCTTGTTTTCAAGTACTTGCCAAATATATGAATTAGAGAAAAAAAACAAGAGGAAAAAATTTCTTTCTCTATTTCTTCACCAAGTTCAAAACTTACCATCTTTCTTCTTCTATTTACAAACATGACACTATCGACATTGCTGATCCTAGCAGTAGGTATCCAGTTAGATCGCACCATGGTTAAATTGCTCCCTGTAAGATTGCTCCACTCGAAAGTTAGATTGCTCCATCAAATAAGTCACTTTGCTCCAAACATAAGTTACTTCGCTCCATGTTGTTATGTGAAGTATTTCTTAGCAATGATCTTTAAAGTTCATAGGTGATGATGTGTCTTATGATATATATATATATATATATATATATATATATATATATATATATTTAGGTGGCTAGATGTATAGTGATGATGGAATAAATGATTGTGGTTACACTTTGTGAGTCCATTACATGAGGTTTTATTTGTTCTTTCTGCATAGCTTGGATTTATTTCAAGAGTGTGCAAGCAATATTAATTTATTGTTAGATAAGATATACATATCATTTAGTGAATTATCAATTTAGATAGCTTAGTTTTGCTACCTTTACCTTAATTTTCTACATGGAGCTAAGTAACTTATGTTAGGAGTGACATAACTTATTTGATAGAGCGATCTAACTTTTGATTGGAGCAATCTAACCTTTGGTTGGAGCAATCTAACTGGGAGCAATCTAACCATGGTGCAATCTGACCATAATTTTAGCAGTATACAGAATGAGTGTCATATGAACATAGTAATAAGCCCTGCTCACTATAGAGTCTCTGTGGCTCAGTGGTAGAGCATCAGAGTGTGGACTCTGAAAGTCTGAGCTTTGAATCCTCATAGAGACTCAGAATTTTTCCTTTGTCCTACGCTTGTGATGAGATGAAAAAACATATTTCTCTATTTCTTTATCAAGCTCAAAACTTACCATTTCTCTTATTCTATTTATATGAATTACATAGACAAGTTTGTGTCTTTTATACACAGTTAAAAAATATCTTTAACCCTTTCACAACAGAGATCTCATTAATGAGTTTCCTTACTGTCTGCCAAACAATTCTTATGAGGTTTGTTTGGAGAATTTGTTATTGAATCAACAAATCATTGTCTGACTGATATTTTTCTTTATTTCCATTACTTCTCTGCTTCAAGGTTTTCATTGTATTGTACTGAAGTTTGACCACTGAGGAATATCAAAAGATATTCTGCAGTTTAGGTTGGGGGATTTTGGTCTCTTGATGTGATTAGAACAACCACATTCAACTGATATTTGATGAATAATAATACTATCTATTGGGTATACAAAATTATAGAATGAAATATCCTCAACAAATAACAAAAACACTCTTGACGCACATATTTGTGAAAAGTGAAAATATACCATTTATCACGTGAAAATATCTATTCAGCCTCGCCAATTTCCTGCTATTAGAAATTGTTTAATTTTCAACCCCAAACAGTTGAATAAATATGTGAGATTTTTTTCTGAATTCATCAACTGACAAGGTATAGTAGACAAATTATCCATTATCAATAACAAATAACATTTTAAAAGTGATGGCTCTCATAAATTGAATCAGGCAGGAACGAGGAACATCCTTTTTTTACTTTGTGTGTATGTTTGTCTTTGCCATTGTTTTTGTTTTTCCTCTTGGCCCTCTGGAGAAGGAAACACATGATAAAAAAGCTTGATCAAAATAGTAGTTCATTGTGCTGTTTACCGTAAGCATAAGTCAGGCTTGAACTCAGAAATGAGATGAACTTGTTTTCGTTCACTCCAAAAAACAGAACCAGGAGAGAGGGACTGTTCCTAGCTATGGTTTCTAAGTCCTACAGTCAAGTGAGGATTGCGTGACCGTACATTTAAAGCATGACCATAGATGTTGAAACTTAGGGAGAAGTGAATCTGCCTCAAATTGTGAAACAAATTGTAATTACTCAAAATCTCTGGCTTTTGTAATATTTCAAATTTAGGGTTTCAGTTTCAGCTGAAGAGGACAAAGGTACAATAACCACCTTAGGTAGGGCTCATCCGTAAAAATAATATACATCAAACCACCAACGATTACTGAATATGGCAAGATAAATACATCGTTTTAGATATCACTGGATCACGAGCCAGCCCCTAAACAAAACCTAAAGAGTAATTTCAAAATGCTTTAATGACAATTTGTCTCTGTTTCTTTTATTTTTCAAGTTCTTAGTATATTATTTCGATATTCTATGATTTAATGCACGTATCAGAGAAGAAAAAACTTAATTGCAACAATCCGCCTTGAAATTAACTCCAAACCAACATGGACTTTGATAGCTGTCAGTTAATCCGATAGGTGTAACGATAGTAACGTGACTGTCATTATCCACATATTCCCATTGAACCTGCGGCCAAATAAGCGGAAAACAAACCACTTCCTAATTGATATCCTGGAGTTGTTTGTCAATCTGCGAGTTTTGGGAGGTCAGCCAATCAGGGAGCGTTCTATAAATAGGAGCCAGTACGTATTTATTCGATTCGATCTGCTACAGCGATTTAATGTGACATGTCAATCCGTGTTATTTGTTACATCCAACGAGCAGAAACGAAGGTTTAGTGCAATCAACATCCTCATTGTCAAAAACAAGGATGCATCCTCCTAGCGCTTGCTTTCTAGGTGGACTCCGTATGTACAAGATTGTTCTTCTTGGAGAGGGCGGCGTGGGAAAATCAGGTAAGTTTGTGCACGGGCTTACTTCCCGCTTGACTGAAGGAATTCGTCAGCAAACACTTGCAAAAGGGAACAGTGTTGATCGTTGAAACGAAATCGCTTCCTGGATGAGTTTGCCTAGTAGACTGAAGTTTAGTATTGATCTACAACTCCTGCTAAGTTTTTCTACGAGAGTTATTTTAGTGAAGAACAAAATCAGAAAGTGAAAAGCGAAAAGGTTATTTGTTTGCTCTAACGCGCCTTTTAGCTCGGTTAATTATAAAATATTTGGAATACCTCAAAGCTATAACATCTGTTTGTCTCGGGTAAACGTTGTCTGTTTTGCCATCTCTCATTCTAGTTATGTTATTTAGTGCGCTTGGAATTTCAACTCATTCGATCTGACCACATTTTTCTGCTCGCGCAAACAACTCGCTCTGGTGAAATGTATACTTTGCTTTGCTCAGTGAAACGAAACAAGTTATTTCCTGCATGTTAAAATTGTTTTGTAGTTCGTTTCACGAACATTCGCTTTTCAGTTCAATTTTGAATTACGCTATTTTTCAACAAATTATTGCCGTAGGGAAATTTAATGGAACTGAGTAAAATCTGCCTCATCATCGGATGTTTTGAACGGAGTTGTCACTTTGACAGCGAAACAATATCAGCGCCTATGTTTTGTGACCCGTAACGTAATTGACTTCACATCCCAAGATAAACAACCATATCATAGGTACTCTTTTATCGCTTTATTTTTCTGAATCGATTGTTTTTGAATTATGAATTTTTTAAATTCATAATTTTGTTTCCTAATTACCGGAAAATTGTAAACCAGAGACCGCCAATGATGCTGAAACTTCAACTTGCCTTCATCGTGCGCGCGCTCCACTGTTTCGATCGAAGTTGTTTTGATACATGTTGTTTTGATAGAAGTTACGAGATCAGGTCGATGTAGCGCGTGAACAGCATACAATGTTGAATTTAGATAGTTGCTCGGGCTGGGGGCATTTAGAGCGAATTAACGCCAGTAACTTTCTCAAAATTTTTATTTACTTTGTTGTTGAGACAGGTCCGAATTGTGGATGAAATAGGCGCATATTTATAGCTAGAAATGAAATCTCATTTCTATTTTTTTACCTTTCAAGTAAGATGTACTAGTTCTTAATGTGGGTGTTACTAAATTGTGGATCAGCGGACCACAGAACCTCCGTAACCACTGGAACTCGCAGAAAGGAATTAAATAAAAACTAAAAAGACCTTAACACTGTTGGAAAGTTTACTTTCGGGTGTGAGGAAGAACATTTTAAAAGAGAAATATGTCTTAATTGTCTTCGATATTCAACTACAATTGTTGTAGGGACATTCACTGTACAAGAGTATGTGTCACCTACCCTGAATGTCAATAACTGAACCATAATTTGAAAGCTTCAATGGTTTGGGTACTGTGATATCCAAGTAATGCTTCATCTTAAGGCTCTCAGCAAACCTTTAGGCTGGATTTAGCATTGTTTTCATTTCATTGTACATAATCCTGGAATGAGGAATATCAGTGTAAAGTAACATCCTTGCTTGTGACGCATGTAGAATTCCAGGGTGACCAGGGCCTCAGGAGGGAATTTACTGAATTTTGCATGCATTGGACTCATTTGGTTGGTGTTACTCTCAGACATATCTTGGAAAGGGTTAAATAACAGGAAAAGAAGATGAACTAAATCAAGCTAAATTACCTTAAATCAGCCCCAGAAATTCAAATGATGCAAAAGAACATCCATTTGAATAGGGTTAATTTGTCCTTATTCAAAACTAGTCCAGATCTTTTAAAGGTTTAGAGCACGACTGTTCATTTCCATGCAAATCCTTATATTTCACCCATGGTATGATGAAAACATATTTGCATATTCACAGAGGCCCACTGCATGAGCTTGGGCTTTCAGTGGTTGGATGTCAAGGAAGATTTAAAAAAAAAATTATTTTTCTCTTAAAATATTATCTTCCTTATACCAAAAACCAAATTTTGAACAGTGTTATGGTAGTTTTAGTTTTTCTTTTCTTTTATTTACTTTCTATTTATTTTTAACAAAAAACTCATGGCTCCACTGGTTCCACTGGTTCTGAACAAATAATTTGATCTATTCAGTTCTTGTTACTGATAGTATTTTTTTTCATCTTTTATTCAGTAAGCTTTTGTTAGACATTATGTGGAAATAAAATTTTTTCTTTTTTTTTTTTGGCAGCTCTAACCATGCAGTTTGTATCTCACTGTTTTGTGGATTATCATGATCCTACTATTGGTGAGTAAACATTACTAGGTACTGAAGGTGGAATTTCACTCGCAAGAGAGTAAGAGTCTGAGTCATAAGAGCACTTCTGATCTGGCAAAATTCTAAAAATTGTAGTTGTAAGTAGAGTCATGAGCTAAATGGAACTGGACTCAGAAGAATCAGAATGGTTTCATTTTCTTCCAGTTCTGCCTATGACTCCAAGGTTTATGATCCAGTGAAAACTAGATTGTTGGAGTCGCAAGCAGAAAGGGGAGAATTGACCAAACAGAATGTCAGTTCTCATTCTCCGGCCCTTTCAGTATAGTCTTCCACATAGGACTGCGACAATTCAGTTTTAACTGGATTGTAAGTTATGCAGTTGTCGAGGGCATGGACATTTTTCTTCCAATGCTGTCAGCTAAATTTTGTATGATTAAGACTTTCACTCCAACTGTGTGGTAAGTGCAAACCAGCCTTAAACCTTAACGCACAGAAAAGGAATATCTGTTTTCCCCAAGCAATAATGATTATCCTGAAAGTGCTAAGCTTAATCAATTTGTTAAAATTTGTTCATTTGTTTTGATTACTACCAATCTAGAAGATGCATACCAACGTCAAGCTGTAATTGATGGAGAGTCTGGATTGTTAGATATTTTAGACACTGCTGGACAGGTGGGTACAAACAATGAAAACCATGATGTTGCCCAAAAGGAAAAAAAAAAGCTGAGATAGCTGAAGGAAAAACAAAACATTATGCTTTGTTTTTTATTTAATTTATAAATATTTTTTCTGAGATTTCATGCAATGTTTGTTAAGAAGATGAACAGCATCTTTTTCAAATGAATATAAGAAGACATACTCTATTGCATCACTCTTAAGTATATGGGATATCTCAGATGAACGAAAATTTAATGACGAAGGGTCCTCAAATTAATTTTTTTAAAATTTGGAGTTTGGGGGTCTGGTGATTTCCATGAAATTATGTAAGTTTAAACCCAAAAGGGAAAAGTTAATTCATCTCTGAGATTGGAAGGTCATAAGAGGCTCTTTTACTGAATAGCAGCTGTATATTAAGCATGAAATAATTTTTTTTGCTGAACAGGCTATATTAGTACCAGTAGCAGATTACAAAATTGTTTTTGTTTAACTTATAGCAAGAGTTCACTGCCATGAGGGAGCAGTATATGCGTAGTGGTGAAGGATTTGTCATAATATATTCCATAACAGACAGACAAAGCTTTCTTGAAGCAGCTCAAGCAAAGACGCAAATTGAGCGAGTTCGAAGAGGAGATGGAACACCAATGGTCCTGGTTGCAAACAAAATGGACTTAGAGAGCAAAAGGGAGGTGACTACTGAAGAGGGCCAAGCATTAGCCAGGGAGTTTGACTGTCCATTCTTTGAAACATCTGCAGCCCTGAGGCACTTTGTGGATGATGTTTTCCACACTTTAATTCGACAGATACGGAAAAAGGAAAGATTGGGTATGAAGCTAGCTCAAAAGAAAAAGAAACGTCATCATAGGGCAAGCACAATTGTTCAGAATTTTTTCAGACGTCAGAAGAAAAGGGTGTAAGTGTATCTGGACATGAGGTTGGGAACAAAAATGATATTGTGCTTCTGTTCATAGAAAATGATAATTTGTATCAAGTAAGTCAAAAATTCCTAATTGTAAATAGCAAATTAGATTTTTCTGTATATTGTGGTCTTTCCAGAGATATAGATTTACAAATTGTTTGATGACAAACTAGTTTTGTAGGCGTAAACATTGTAGAAATTCTCATGGAATCTACCAGGCTTTCAAGAGCTCTGAGGGTTCAAAACATTCATAAAGCATGTGTATGATATGTTGAAATCCTATTCAACCAATGGTTGGGAATTTTTAATACTAAAAAACTCAAGAGATTCCAATTTGACCTCTAATAGTGAAAAATCTAAAAATGCTGAGGTTTGAAGTTAGAATGTTATCATCATGGAACAATGCAAGTTCACACTCAGAAATTTTTTGAAATATTAAAAAAAGGTCATGTTTTAAACATTTGTTTAAGAGAAATCCTCATCTTTTTTTTGTTTTTTTGTTTTTGGAATAAACAGAAACTGATCACAAGTTGTGCATAATTAAATCAGTTGAAAGAAAACAGAATTTTTTTCTCCTAAGGGAAACTTACAGTGTGATATATTTTGTTACATATGTCACATACACAAAACTGACCAATCCTATTGCAGAAAACAAGCAATGAGTTCCATCTAAATCCTTAGACATCTTTGCTTAATTACTTAGAACTTTGCTGCATTCATTGGCTGTTTGAAGTAATAACATAACTGGTTAATTTTGTTGAAGTGACGACAGTAACTGTAGTGGCTCTATACATAGCTGCTAAGTTTTATCACTTTTTACTTGTAAATATCACTGTTTACATATAATCATTGCATGATAATTATAAGATTAAATAGTAAGTTGGGTAAATGTGTTGAGTTTGGAGTTTTTCATACAAGCAGAAATCAAGCAAATGAGTAACACAAGGATGGGCACCTTCTAAGACCATGAAAGACTTTCAAAAAGTCAAATGTAAATCAATAATTTTGTTAATTTTGTACATCCCATGATAAATTTATTTTTAAGATCCTGCCTGTTTTTAGAAACTATTTGAATGGGCCAGGGCTCTGACTGAATAGTGAGGTTCCCCATCAAACTCTCTACCCTCTGATCTTGTGCAGTGATAGAAAGAGTTCTAAAAAAATTTAAATTGCTGGAATGTGCAATGCTCTCTGCTTTGGTCTAGAAATTCAGTCATTCATTTTTTTATTGTTCTTTAATTAAAGTTAGAGGATAGGTGGTCCTTTGTGTGTGCTCCATCATACAAGTCATTCGAAATCAGTGGAAATCACCCCACATCTTGTTAAGTGTCTGAGCAATGTGCACAGAAAGTGCATGCAGGGGCCAACTCAATCAGGCAATTTTTCTTGACTCATGATGGACCACACTAAGAAGGAAGGAATATGCATACTCTACTTTGAACATGTGTAATAAACTCAACCAATCACCTCATAAAAAAAATATAACAGGTCCTAGAGAAGATTTCTCTCTTCTTAACCCATTTAACCCTAAAGATGACCAGCAACTAATTTCTCCATACAGTAATAATGCCAAATCATTTAAGAAGATCATGAGAAATGAAGAAACGATCACCAACGTAAGAAGCTTTGATTATTAGACAAATTCTCCTAGCCAGTACCAAGGGAAATCTAGAGAAGAGTATGGAGAATATCGATGCTGATGTTAGGGTGTAAAGGGCTTAATGAAAGAGAAAAATATTCTGATTGAATGAGGTGATTATTTAAAGCAGTAACATCACAGTTACTTCCAAAATGTATTTATGCAAGGCAATGTAGTCAGCTTCACTTTCATCTAAAGTAGGTGAAGATTATTTGTTAGAAATGGAAATGAAGAGTATTTTAATGATGTTGTAATTTAAGAAGCTTTTGTATAATAGTGGCTGTAAGCTTTCTTTTTATCTGTATATGGTGCTACATAGCTATATTAGTGATAAATTAAACACTGTCTCCATTAATCTAGTCTGATACGTTTATCTCAAGTTTGAGAAAAGTTGCGGCGTAAGGTAGGGGAGGGTAGGGCCAAAATTTGAGGGACAGAAAAGCAGGCTCTGTCACTTTTAGTAGTCCATATTGTTTCTTTAATTAGCTGATACTTTAAATTGTACAATATTCAAAGCTTTTGAAAACGCAATCTAGGGTGAAAGCAGAATGGCTTTAGAGGCCCAATAAATTACCGGAACCTTCGAGAATCTGCTCCTAAAGTGGGACCTCTTTTGGTATCATTATTTGAAGGTATTGATGAGAAAAAAAATACTTACGGTTAGCCGCTAAAAAAGAGAAACTTGGTTGTCAGTGAGGGTAGCAAACTACAAAACTTTTTCTACAAAGACCAAACACGTACCCTTCTTTTCACGTCTGGATTCTGCTCTCGGTTCAATAGGAAAATCTGAGCATTTCTATCGGATAAATTGATACCACTGCCAAACGAATTGAGGATAAAACCCTTAAAAACAATCATGTGTTGTGTCTATAAAATTCAATGTTCACCGGGATTGGGATGCGCGCTATTTACCTCGTACTTACCTTGAGGTCCCAGGGGATATTGGGTCACCCGGGGTCAAAGTTTAGCGCACACTTAGTCAATATTTATGACGTCACAAGTGAGGAAAGGAGAGTTATATAGACTTGTTTAGAATTATTTCTCTTTCGTTCGCATTTGCGCAAAAAAGATATCTCACAGGCATTTCTTCAAGTTTCGTCCCTTGGATATCACTAACAGCAGAAATCTGTTCCCCGTGAAGATCCGTCGTGTCACATCCGTGTTGTCAACCACAAATGATGCCATAGCGGTTATATCGTTTCCTTGTTTCAATGTTTTAAATAAGTTTTCAAGTTTTAAACTACTTCTCTGTTGTGAGCAGTGAGAGTTGATCGAGAGAGCGGATCGTGGAAAACTTGCTTTGCTCCAACGGAGGTCTAACGCTCCAGATGTCCGCTTTCCAAAATTCTCTATTGCAGTGTATCTACCTTTCCCAAATTCTAACTAACAGTCAACCTAGTGTCCCACAACACAGCGGTCAAACATAGAGCATACGTTGGGGGATCAATTTTGGACGCCCGCGCGTCAATTGATATTTCCCACGCAAAATTTCAACGAAAAACATTAAAACGGCGTTTATTGAAATTTGTTAAAGGGAACAAAAGTAGGGAAAAGCGAAGCTTAAGACTTCTCGAATACAAAGCTTATTCAATTACGTACTGTGGTGATTTACCTTTTACCAAAAAAGTTATACGCTTCTCAGACACCGTGCCTTACTGGCTTTTGTGTTTGTGGAAGATAGCTTGGTTGTGGCGGCCTGAAAGCACGCCACCTAGTCATTACAACGTTAACACATGCGCAGACGTTTGAGCGCTGTGGCTTGTTTCACTTGCTTCTGACGCAGTTCATCAGTATCTTTAAAAACTAATAACCGCGTGCCTTGCATCCCGCTATGTCTAGTGAAAGATTACGCCTAGTGCACTTAGAATTGAGCAAAATTGACTTTCCACTAAACGTCTAATCGTATATTTATACAGCAGCCTTGCACAATAAAATATAAAAATATATCTTTATTTCCCTTGAAGGATCCAAGAAAACTTAAAAATTTTATTACTTCGTGACAGAAGTAACATCAATTTGATGGTAACTTCCATTATTGGGTGTTTGAAAAATTAATTTATAACAATTTACCTTGTTTAATTCGTATGCTTTGTACACCCAATCGCATTAATAGTAATGCTATATGCAAAAATAATAATTCATCATTTTTATCTATGTTTCGCTGAATTTTTTTAAATTAAAGATAAAGATCTTTCACTAATTTTGGTTCCATAACCGAGACCATAATGAGAAAGCACGACATGTATATCCCTCTGCAGTTTTTTCAGATGTGAGCATACTTTTCATAGTACTTAATACCGGGCTATGGAAATAAACGAATACAAATGCAACTTTCTGCAAGCAAATGATTTGAGTGAAATAGTAACTGTTATTCAAAGGTTTTTACGTCAAATATAAGCTTGGAAACTAAATGCCTTTGATAAAAACTTTGTTGTAAAAACTAACTATCTCAACAAAAGAATATGAACAGGTTTCGTTCTGAAATGTAAAGAATACGATACTTAGAAAACATGTAAGTTAACATGATCAATGAGGACGGGACTACAAACATTTGTTTTCAAAAAATAACTTTCTGAACCGCAAAGATCGATTATAATTTTACTTTGCGTATCAATTTGCCTTTTTAAATTGAAAATACGTTATATGTTAATCTTCGCACTTTATTTTGAGCAGATCGCCTGACACACGAGTATGTGTAGTAAGTCTTTCCCCCTTTTTTATATCTGTTAGAATGGCGATTAATTAAATAACTGTCTATTTTCTGAACGAATAACAGTTCACGATTGTCGTGTAGAACGACACTAACCATAAGTAGAATTTTACATTCTCTCGTCTTCGTCTTCGTCTTCGATAAGAGACCAGTTGCATTCATCATCAGATTCAGCTCTACCGTTACATTCTACACTAGTGTAGTATTTCATTCTCTTTTTGGATCGAAACTGAAGAATCCCAAATACAACAAGAAAAGTAACAATTGCCAGTGACATAGCTGCAATGGCTATTGCCGATAGCCCAGTCTTTCCGGGATCTACGAGCACAAATTTGAGTGCACTATCATTTGGATACTGCACTGAGCGATTCCTGTCAATGACTGATGATTTACATTCTCTTCCACATGGATGACAAGATCTTGTTTGTTCCTCAATGGAATGATTGGGCGAACACTGTACAACGCACATTCCACGCTCAAGATAAAGCGGGCTCTTACATAAGCGACAGTTATCTGAGGAGAAACCATAACAAGATTGACAGACAGGATGACACGTTTGACACTGATGAATACCATACTGTTCCGTAAGAAACGATCCACTGGGACAGCTACTGACACAAGTAAAATTGTAGAATACTTTGCCTTGTGAGCAACTAAGACAGTTGAAACTATCTGGGCCATTGCATGATCTGCAATTTGGATGACACTTCTCACATTTTCCTTCAAGAGAAAATTTTCCTTCAGGGCATACTGAGTCGCAAGTTCCTTTGTCTTGACTTTGAACTAAGTCTTTTGCACATGATAAGCAAGTGTCTGCACCAGCACCAGAACATGTCTGGCAGGTTGGGTGACATTTCTCACAGAGACCTGTGTCCCGATTTGGAAATGTTCCATGGGGACATTCCTTTTTGCACGAAAAGCCAACTAGACTTGTATCTGGTTTGCTGCATGCGATGCAGTCATTCGCTGTAGGCCCAATACACCTTGAACAAGAAGGGTGACATTTTATACACTTCTGGCGACTGGTATCCAATACCCAGCCATGTTTGGGACACTCTCTGATACAGTAGTGCTTATAGAGCACAAATGGTGGTATACATCTTGTGCAATTTCTGAGGCCATTCCCTGCAAAAGAATTGGATAAAAGATAGCCAACGTGAGTACGATAGAATGATTAAAGCTTACTCTTAAGTACTTCGACACCTGTAGACTCAAGATCATTGCATATCGAATTTACAAGCCAAAAGGGATATTTTGAACTAACCGTGGATAAATGGTGTACTGACTTTATCCGAACCTTTCGATCTATGAGATATTTTCTACTGTTCTCTCATTTTCCATGGCAAGTTTAATGGTTTACAAACGTAACTGAATATTGCAGGATGAGATACTCTAACCTTAATTATATTTATATGTTAACAGTTGTACAGCTAAGGAAAATAACTACTCATAAACTTACCTCCTTCACAGGTTGAGCAATAGTAGTCACATCGCTGGCAACTATTAACTTCTCTGTCAAAGTAATAGTCTGACGGACAAGATGCTAAACATCTTGAGTTCGCCATGACAGATGCAGGATGACATCTGGTACATTGATCCGCACCGGGTCCTGTGCAAGACTTGCATGATGAATGACATGGCGCACAACTCTTTGTTCCTGGCAGTAGATAGGTTCCAATCGGGCAGATACTGACACAGATTCCATTATTCAGAACCTCGTGTTCTTTGCACCGGACACAGTTGTTGGAAGACCTCACACATTCCTTGCACATACCATCACAAGGTTCACATGAGTTAGTTTTGCTACGATATTGGCCTGCTGGGCACTGTGTTCGACATGAATTAGCAACAAACAATAAACCTGGCTGACAGGACAAACATTCCACTTCGTTTTTGCATTTTGTGCATCCAGGGGAGCACGGCTTACATCGTGTTGTATCCAGCTCACCGAAGTAACCGTCTGGACACTCATAGGAACACTGTTTTGTTTGCAAATCCAGAAACTTTATATCACTGCAGCTTAGGCAGTCTTGTTCATCTGGACCAGTGCATGAATGGCACACAGGATGGCATCTCTGACAGCCGTCACTACTATTAAACTTGCCTCTTGGACAAACTGGTTTGCATTCAGAGCCATCAAGCGACCAGCCAGCTGTAAAGAAAATAAGTTTTAAAAAAAGGCGTTACAACAAAAGAAAATCTTCCCTGCTCCCAAAAGTTTTATCCGTTTGTTCTCTTGTAACAATGTGGCAATAAGCGGTCACAGGAAGTGAAAATTGTGGAAAGAGAAAAAAAAGGGACATGTAAATCTTGAATATACGATTAGGCTAAACGAGTCCTCCTAAACTAGTCCTTTTACAAAGGAGATCAATTAAAAGAATTGCTCCGAGGAGAAAGGTCAGAAGAAAATACTTTATTTTCCTATTTCTGTCATCGTTTTCATGATTATAGACCCCCTTGAGTTCTGCATAAAAAAATGATGATAGAGTTCAAAATACCTCTACAAGTCTGGCAGTCGCTAGCAGACGGTCCACGGCATGTTTCACAATTTGTGTGGCAAGATTTACAGGTAAGAGGATTTTGACTGTGGAACGTTCCATCCGGACATTTGGTGACACACGTTGATCCAGCCAAAACATTCGAAGGGGAGCAAGAGAAACAGTGGTTGCTTTCCTCACCAAAGCATGTGCGACATGCTGAGTTACAAGGGACACAGCTGCGCAAAAAAACAAAACAAGATAGTGTAAATGACGATTCTTTTTTAGTTGTACA